ACGCTGTAACACACAACTGGCTTGACCAAACACAAAACTGTCACAGAACTTTTTTTGAAGCGTAATGTCACCTTTAAATCGCCGTATAGTATGACCCGATGCGATGTATACATCGTGAGATATGGCTCACTAAAGACATCTAGCGGAAAACGCTCAGAACTTTTTACTTCACCTAATATATTAGAGTAAGCATTTATACACGTTATGTTTCGTTACAGGAAAATGAATAGTACGTTGTAAAACATTTTAAAATGTTTAAAGAACAATCGGGAGCGAAAAAATATTCTCCGAAAACCAGGCAATCTCCCGATATCGATTCACGCTCAAATGGAAATATTTCAAAATATCGGCGATGACGAATTTCAAGAACTTGTGAATAGACATATTTGTTCATCATTTATGCATTTACCCACAAATTATTATGACACATATATAAATATTAGCTTTTTTCCCCTCAGGTAAACTACTTGAAGTACATCGGAGGATTCAACCTGAAGGAAGCTGTACACTTATGCTTCAAGGAGGCAATGACAGATGACATAACGCGGTCCTTTGGTGGGGTCGCCAAGACAACTTACGACCTTTATATAATACTCGCATTGTTATAGCCATCTACGGTAACGTTTTGTAATGTTATTTATGCATCTTCATAGTTATTCGGCGACTCTTCCATATTTGAGTATACTTTGTTTATTTTTCAGAGGCAGTATGCGGTAATCGACACTTCAGCAAGCCTAAACGTGCAGAATTCCAAGCACAAATGCGAGAGGCAATACGGACGGCAAAGCAAAGGTGCAGAAATAGGACACGTGGCCCGCGTGCAGTAGGACCGAATCTAAGAGAGCGCAATTTTTGGACTGAGGAACCACAGGATCTGCCGGCAGCAGAGGACAGCGACGAATAAATGATGTGATGTTTGTTTCTTTTTCCTTAGATGAGTACTTTATTGCATTTTATAAATTATTTTGTGAAGTAGTGCAATTACTTTTAATTGTTTACATATTTATTTCTTGCTCACTTCAACTAAATTATTATTTACTTTTATCTAATGTTTACGATTGTATTCCAGATAGAGCAGTTTAACGTGCAGGGATTATGGCGCGGGGCGCCGATGGGGGTTTTTAGTCAGGTTTTTAGGTTCTGGTCCTTTGGGCCAGGGAGTCCGACACTACTCCGGGTGTTCTTCCTGCACTAGGCTCCGGAGTGTCCATGATGGATTTTCCCCAATCTAAAAAAAAAAAAAAAAACTTTTCAATGTTACACAATTAATAAAATTTTTTTTACTATAATCTTTCATTTGTGTATTTATTTCTTATATAGTGAATTCGATTGCGAAAACTAGTGCGCGCGCACATGCACGCGACATACACACACACACATATACACACACAAATTTTGGTCTGTTTTAATGGTCGATATGTCTTGTTCGTTGTTTGCCGTCAATTTGCCGTCACACGTTGCTCAGCATGTCTTGCTCGCTGTTTGTCGTAAACTTGCCGTCACGCGTTGCTTAGCACGTCTTGTTCGTTGTTTGCCGTCAATTTGTCGTCACGCGTTGCTCGGCACGTCTTGCTCGATTTTTGCCACAAATTTGCCGTCACACGTTGCTCGGCACGTCTTGCTCGCTGTTTGTCGTAAATTTGCCGTCACGCGTTGCTCAGCACGTCTTGCTCGTTGTTTTCCGTCAATTTGCCGTCACGCGTTGCTCGGCACGTCTTGCTCGTTGTTTGCCGTCAATTTGCTGTCACCCGTTGCTCGGCATGTCTTGCTCGTTGTTTGCCGTTAATTTGCCGTCACGAGTTGCTCAGCACGTCTTGTTCCCTGTTTGCTGCAAATCTGTCGTCACACGTTGCTCGGCACGTCTTGCTCAGTTTTTGCCAGCACTCTGCCCTCAAGTAATCTCGGCATGCTTTGCCGACATAACGCCAGCATAAAGGTAGTATACATGCTGCAAATTTGCTGCAATCCTATGATTGATTTTGCTAGCATTTTGTCGACATATTGCTGACATTTGGCTATCAAGGTGTGTGTGTGTGTATATGTATATATATATATATATATATATATATATATATATATATATATATATATATATATATATTTGGCTTGAGACGTCATCGCGTCTCCTGATTGATGTTTACGGGAACCTAGATCGAAGATTGTCAAATAGAAAAAAAATGCTCAACATGCTTCGAAGAAATAATAAGACGAAAGTTTTATCAAAAATTAAATTCTTATTAGTACTTTCAAGTGTTTGCTTCCTGGATTTATTAAAAAACGTACATGTGCAAAATAAGATTCAAATTACGTAATAAAAGTTTGTTGATTAATCCAGAGTATATATTTAGCCGCGTCAACGAAGATGACATACTGTGTAAGATCGCAAGTCATTTTATTAAGATCATACAACGATCGTGAAACAATACCGCGTAGTTGATAACGACCTGTGGTTGAATCATAGAGTACCAATCCGCTTCCGCTGTCACCATTACATGGACCGCTGCCGTCTCTCAAACCAGCGCAGAGAGTGCGATTTGATGTAAAATTAACAAAACTTGGGTTACTCCAGAGGCAGTCCTCCTGTAATTTATAAAATAATTACTTTTCATAGCCGTTTATAAAATTTAATACAAATGTATGAAAGAAATGTAGAATCACTTATTACCAGTTATATTACTATTCAGTAGTTCAGTAGTTTTATTATTAACAACTAATGATTTTGAGTATTTAAATTACACATACAAATTAATGATGCTACAGAGTAATTCAGTGATTACAACGTATTATTAGGTAAGTTTTTGTGATGAATTATTGTTGGGAGACAGAATTATTCTTTAATAACGAGAAAGAAGTATCAATTTTCTTATGATTAGTATAAATTGTTTCATATCTTGTATACCTGATAATTATACCTGAAAATAATACATTAGTTATTATTACTGTCGTCATAATCACTTAATTACTCTATAGCATTGGTAACCCTATAATTTAAGTATTCAAGATTATCCACCACTATTAATAAAACTACTAAGCAATAGTAATTTATTATTAACCAACTAATAATATCTTACACAACAATATGACGTCTTAAAGACGTCTAAAATACGTCTTAACCTTTAAACGTCTAAAATACGTCTTAACCTTTAAACGTCTAAAATACGTCTTAACCTTTAAACTACCGGAAAAGCCACATTTGTCTCTTATAGAAATATCATACTAAGAATCATTGATAATTACTTATTTTCAGTATTAAAAATACTGGATAATAAGTAATTATCAATAATTCTTAGTATGATATTTCAATAAGGGGTGGCTTTGCACAAATTTCAAAATTCTGTGCCATGTGTATGTTACTTATATAGAAAACTTTTTTAAAACAAAACCACTTTTTTAATGGAAAAATGCCGGCATCCTAAAGGTTAAGAGTCTGCAGGAGCTAAGAGTAAATCCTGATTTGACTTTAGAGGTCTCGTGCGGCAAGAACGTAAAACTCCGTCCTATGTGTGTAGCTGTATACCCTTATACACATAAATACTAATGTATCGCTCGCGCGGACGCAACAGTTGCAAATTAGTGCACCTGGGCTACATTTTCCGTAGTATCTATAACTAGACATATTTTGCCTCATTGTTCGGGAATGTGCTAATTACTAAGGTTATTGGTTTTGGATCAGGAATAGAGGAGAAAATAGATTGACTGCTAACAGTTTGAAATTTGATATCACGCACTTTATTTGATTGTGGTCAATATTCGATGTGCCTATTTGAGCATACAGAGTTAGACGAACGGTGGATAATAACGGTACGGAACGAACGGAAATCTTGCCCTTGACCAAACGTGCTGCTCGCGGACGCGACGGAAATCTTGGGCAGAGCTATAGACATTAACTCCGAACGAGACGGAAATCTTCTCGCGGCGGGACGTACGTAGCAGCGATCAAGATCCGAACGCGAAAACACGACACACCGTTCGCAAGCTCGAGTCGATGCGAAAATCCGAATTAATCGGAAAAGTCGGAACCCTTGATGATATAGACGGTTAGAACGGCACGTTTATAGTTCGAAAGAAGAACGGCGCAACGCGGAACACAAGTCTTTGTTATTGATTGCGTGTCACAAATCAAAACGAAACACGACAACAATACACAGTTTAATAAGGAAAACGAATATATATTCCGATCGGCATAAAAATGGGAGGTGCGCGACGGATCCTACTTGACGCACGGCGCACACGAGTAATCGAAAGAAAGGATCGCGAATGAGGATTCGCGAACGCGACTTTCAACGCTTCGCTTAGATTATCAAATTATTAGACGATTCCGGAACACTCATAGATATTATATTTGCTCACTAAAGAATATTTTACTTTTTTTTACAATAGTGTCAAGAGTGTTACAGCGCCCGATTTTGCAGTTAAGCCCTAAAAAATTCATAATAAATTAAAATATAGACTCTCTCGTACTGCACCTCAGTTAAATATTCATTTAAATAATTTAGATTATTTTTTACCTTGACCTTTTTTCCCAAAAACGCTTTGTAGCACCTTTCGACTTATTATCATCATTTTAAATATCATAATTATAAGGTTTTCTCTATAGTTAGTTCAAAATTTTGTAAAATATTTATGTTGGTTCCTGGTTTTCCGCGAAAGGTCTTTACTATAACTTTTGCAGACCCTTAAAATCTGAGACAATAACTTTAAATGCCAAGCTTGGAGTGCCAGGCTTGATTCAAGGCTCGTGTAATAACAAAATCTGGGTTGAGCCAAGGTTTAGATAATAATAAAACGAACCCACATAACAACAAAAGTTTTAACGATATCTAAAAGACGTCTTAAAATTTTTTAGACGTTTTGAAAAATTGTTAAAGTGGTTTTATGACGGCTTTAAGTCTTATGTCGCGAATAAAAACATCTTAGAGATATTATTTTAAGGGGAGAGGGTCATGTAAACGGCCGTTCCTTGAAAAATTTTTTTTGAAAAAATGGAAAAGTTTATGAAATCGATATAAAGCACATTGTAATATATAGGATTTCAAATATATTATATATTTTTTTCATGTAAAAATATTTCAAAATGGCGGCGCAGCAGCTGTTTGAAGTGGGCTCCTACAATTTGTGCCGTGCAACGCCCAAGTCGCTCTAATTAACTGAAATAAAAAAATCAAAGTTTTTTCCTTAAAATATGTTAATACGCTTTACATGACAGTCGATTTAAAAAAAAATCAAAAATTAAAAATTCAGAACAATTTTGAAAAAAATATCACTTTTTTTGTTAAAAACAAATGTTAAAAAACAATATTTAATATTGAATTTTTAATAAAATTTTAGTGTTATGCAAAGGTCAATAAGTCAAAGAATATGCAAAATCTATTAAAATTTATTAAAATCGGTTGAGAATTCTTTGAGCTACATTGCACGGCGCGCGAAATTTTACGTTTTGAGAAAAACTCGTTTAAAGTTTTCGATAAAGAAAAGTAGTGTTTAAGGGGATTTACGACTATATAAGCTTAGTCTGCGATGCCAGGGCCGTGAACCCTTATAGAAATATCATACTAAGAATCATTGATTAATTACTTATTTTCAGTATTAAAAGTACAGTATTTAGTAATATTCTGTAATTCAAATACAGCTTTTAGTACTCAAGTATTTCAATATTTAATGTTACAAATCTTACCTTATGATTGATTTCAATACTTAAATATTGATATGTAATACTTCGTCCAGTGATAAAATACTTACGCAGAACATTGTCAATATTTAAATACTAATATATAATACTTTGCTAAGTGATGAAATAC